GCAGTCCGCTCTCCTCTCTCATCTTTCTCTTCTTCCGATCTTGCGGAAGAAGGGTTTTCAAAACCCAATTTAGTTTCCAAAAAGTGTACATTTGGGGGGGGGGGGTCTATTTGAGAGAGAGTGTGTATGTGTGTATGTGTCTGTAAGTGTGTGGATTTTTTTATCATTTTTTTAAAATGCAGTACTCTTTGTATCTGTCTGTCATGGGGCTATAGCTGTTTCAGATTTTTTTCAGCTGTACTTGAGCATCTGAAACTGCAAGAAAGAAACTCATTAAATGTGATTCTTCTTACTAAACAGGCCTGACTGCTGTAGCTGTGTAACTTCTCCCCCACCTCCTCTTTCCCATCACCTTCCCACCTCGGAGAAAGCTCCCCAGTTTGGCCCCTGCCCTGTCAGCTGTGTCCTGGCAGGCGGGAGGGAAGCCCATGCTAGGTACTAGGGGGGTACAGGTGTCTTGCTCAGCCTGTGTGTTCAGCCCACAGCTTCTTGGCTGAATGTAGAGTGTGTCTTTTCCCCGCCCTATGTACTTGTCTCTTCCTAGTGATTCTGTTTTGCTGTTTCAGCAAGAATAATATTTTGTTCTGTTTTTTAAGAGAAAGTATTCAACATGAATGTGGAGAGAACGAACACAAAGATATAGGTTGCAGATGTTACAAGCATGTGCAGTTCTGTGTGTGTGTATACATATATATGGTAAGCATATATATTGTGCAGCTAGGGTGAAGCCAGCAAAGAAGTATGTATGTCTTTATAAAATGTTTGCAAAGAGATAAGCTGACTGCTTGATAATCATTCTCAGGTGTAAAGCTCCAAGTGTAAATAAAAGTGGCATTTAACAAATCTTTTCAGAACAAAGTACAGCTGACTATATAAAACAAGAACTAAGCTAAAGGAACAGCTGAGAGCTGCTGATTCCCACAAGAGGGAGAGGAATCTCAAAGCCCTGCTTTGTATCTCTTCATCCTACTTTCTATAAGAAAGTGGGATGATGGGAAATCATGGATTAAGTTGTATTTAAACAAAAAGGAACTTGGTAACTCTTCTGGGTTTAGTAGAGCCTCAGTGTTGCTTTAACTTAGTTTACACTTTTTTTATTTAAAAAAATAAAAAGCAGCAATCATGTTTTTTTAAAAAGAATTGTGACTGTAAAATTGATAAAAATGACTGTAACACAGCTATATGGTGGCTGTGACAGTTCAGTTGGGCAAAGGAGTGGAGGTGGACTCATTAAAATCATATATACTTGAATAGTCCATTGACCAAAACTCTTTATAGACTGTTGTGTAAATGTGGAATCTCAGACTGTTAAACATTGCCTGGACTCCAAAAGAGTCCCGGAGGCTGCTGGGACCTCTCGTATCATGACAAACTTGGACTTTTTTTTTCTTTCTTGTTTTAAAAGACATGAAATGATAGAATCCATATAATTTGCTGGAGACATTCTGATCCACCATGTAGATCTGTATTTAGTATCATTTGGATTTGGAGAAGTGTCGGTTACATTATGGCTGTGTAATAAAATTTTTATTAAAACTGCATCACACTGTAGCCACTGTGCCACTACCTCCCCACATGCAGCTGCTGAAACTTTCGTTCTGAGACGCCAGAAACAGCAGGGAGCAGAGCCAACCAAAGAAGACCGACAGTTAACTTCTCACCTGAGTAGCCTATTTTGGTGATTGGAATCAAGACTGAGGACTTGTCTGCAGTCTCAACTGAGGCAGGGCCTCTGAACTGAGATCTTGACCAGGCATAGTACATTGGCTTTATCCCACCGACTGAGCTTCTTGGAGGTTCGAGGTGGTACTTGTGCTGGGGAATGGCAGCAGCGGCCCACTGCGCCACCCCCACCCCCCCAGGTGGTTTCAGTGTTGAAGGGTGTGGCACCTAAAGCTGCTTTATACATCTTTCACTTCCTTCCAAGAAGCAAAAAGGCCAATGTCCGTATGCCGAGCTCATGATGTATAGAGGTCTGTTTGTCTGTCTTGCTTCTGACAGGTGCAGGGAAAGTCTTCCTGCCTACAGCTTTCCTTCAAAGAGAATGCTTTTGTTTTCTTTGTTTCTGTGAAGTCCTGACCTGTCACTCAAACTGTACAGATATTTGTAAATAAACTTTATGCCCTGTTTTAACAAGGGAGTCAGATTTAGTCCAAAGACTGCATCCTGAGTGGCAACTCTCAAAGTTTATGTTTTAAAAGTCCAAGAGAGCCTCTCTCACTTGGTTTCTCTCCCTCCCCCTCCTCTTAGCCCTGACCACCACCACCCCCAAGTGAAACTCTTCAGCTACCCAGTTCCCCAGAAGCCTCTCTGAGACATTGGTTGTCTAGAGCCAAGGCAACCTCCAACTGGCCTAGTTTACTTTCTACTTTGGAAGATACCAACAAGCTCTAACAGAACTAGGTAGGCCCCTGATACACTGCCTAACCCTAGTGAGAGTGTCGTCCTAGCTTTCAGTTGGCTGAAGTATAATTTCTTTGTTAATCTGTTTCCTGCCTGTCATGAGTGTGAAGGGGAACCCAGGGCTTGTGAGTATGGCTCTGGAGGAAATACTGATATCCTTCCCTTAGGGCCCCAGCTGGGGACATCTGTAAGGCTCCCTGCTCTCACTACATGAGGCTATCTCAAACCTTTCTAGACCTGGAAAGGTAGGGGGTGGCAAACGTAATGGTACAAGCCCAGTCCAGGCCTGCCTTTGATGTTGGGAGAGGTGGGTCCCTGAGGCTCACCTAGCAACTGCATCTAATGAGGTTTTCTTAAACTCCCTATCACACCAGCCACCTGATTGTTGGAAGCAGTGAGCTCCTGGGCCCTAGAGAGCAGAGATTATAGTCTAGCCTAGAGGACAGCCTTCTCTAGTTATTTTCCCAGGGTTCTCTGCTGGGAGGCAGCCACTGGCTGTGACTGCCTTGGGTGGAGGAATGCAAAGGGGAGAGGGGTGCAGGGTCTATTGGCTATCTCATGGTAGTGGCATCCAGGAATGGGGAAATCACGGGCCTCCAGCTCAGATACTTTTGTGTGACTTACCTGACTAAAGTGGGCAGCTGAACTGCGTTGGGAAGGAGAGGTTTGGAGGGAACAGCAGCACTGGGGGGTGAGGGCAGAGGGGCAGTCTGCCTTCTCTGTAAGGTTCCCCAGGCTGGCCCCCAGGGCCAGAGTTTCTTGGCCCAGAATAGGGGTTTGGCCAGTGCAGCACAGGCGAATTGAGGGCTTCCAGATTGTGCTCTGGACCTGAGGGAGAGCCTAAAAGCCACAAGGTAAGCGGGCTCAGTGCAGTGTTCATACCCCAGCTCCACCACTTAACTACCTAGGGCTGAAGCTGGTAAGCTCTTCTGAGCCCACTCCCCATCTTTAACATAAAATCTACCAGGAGCCTGTTCAAGATGAAGTGTTCCTTTTCCCAGTAAAGGTTCTGTAAGGGCTGTTGTCCAAGTAGAGGCCATTAGGCCTCACAGGAGAGACTTGGAGCAGAGAGGAGGGGTGGGGTGGAAGGGGCAGTGTGATGGAATGGGTCAGAAGCCACAGAACAGCCACAGTGCCAGCTCCAGAAGCTGGAGCACCTGCCCCAGAGACTCAGGTGGCTCCCACCTAGGAGAGTGTGTGTGTGTGTGTGTGTGTGTGTGTGTGTGTGTGTGAGCACCTGCCCCAGAGACTCAGGTGGCTCCCACCTAGGAGAGTGTGTGTGTGTGTGTGTGTGTGTGTGTGTGTGTGTGTGTTGAAGCGGGGGAGGGTGTGTGTGTGTGTGTTGAAGCGGGGGAGGGAGGTCAGGAAACTCAGTCTCCTTATGGAGGTTCCGATGATCACTGGGGCTGGCCAGGAGAACTGTCCAGAGAAGGACAGCTACCTTTTGGACTCAACTTGCTGCTGCTATTCTCTGCAGCACACCCTCTTTACTGATTGTCGGTCTGAAAGCATCCTGCCCCCAGCCCTCACTGGCTCCAAAGGCCTCCACCTCACCACTGCCCCAGGGGACTCAGAAAGACTGTGAGGCTTCACCTCTCCAACACCACGGAGAGTAATTAAAACATAAAAACCGTGTCAAACTGGAAAATGAGTGTAAAGAAGTTCAACCAAGTTCTGATCTGTTTCATGATGACTTAAGAATCTTCAGGATATCAATTTTTTGTCTGTTTTAGCTGTCCATGACCCTGCATTTTCCCCAGTGGTTCAACGGTCTGCCTGCAATGCAGTACACGTGGGTTCAGTTTCTGGGACGGGAAGGTCCCCTGGAGAGGGAAATGGCAACCCACTCCAGTATCCTTGCCTGGAGAATCCCATGGACAGAGGAGCTGTCCAATCCCATGGACTGGTGGGCTACAGTCCATGAGGTCACAAAGAGTTAGACACAACTGAATTGACTTACCAGGCGTGCACATAGACCCTGTGTCGCTAAATTCATGCGGAGAACACATCTGGCTCAGCCATAAACACATCCACCTCTCCTGAAACGCCCAGGTCTATCCCCATCGATTTTTTCCCTGGAGAACTACTCTTCACCCTTCAAACGCTCAAAGGTCACCTCCTCCAGGAAACCTTCCCTGATGGCCCCTTCCCGTTCCGGTTTGGGAGCACCTAAGCTTCTCTACGGCGGCACACGCCACGCTGTAGTACTGTTACCTGTGAGTCTCCACCTCCATCCTGGGACCTAATTAACGCCCAATAAACGCAGTGGAGGAAAGGGGGGCGAGCCCAGCTGACTGCGTTCTGGGATTTCTGACCCCGCCACTCCCCTCTATCGTGTCCCCAGACCGCAGCGCACTCGGGAATGAGATGTGGCGGTGCCATGCCGCCTGTAGTAGAAGCCCAAGCTGTCCGTCCTATGGGTTTAACCTGAGTCCGCGAGTAAAACGGCTGTGGCAGATGGGAGCTATGCCCTCACAGCCCCGTTAGCCCACTCGCCACTCGCCCGTTCGCGACCTCAGTGACCTTGGAATCCACGTCCGAGTGTCCCACGGGACGGTGACCACACCGCCGGCCCGTGCATGCGCTAGCCATGCACGTCTCCAACCGTGGACCCCGGCCGGGCGCAAGCACCCCCACACCCGCCCTCCACCCGCCGTTGGGAGCTAGGGCCTCAGTGCTCGGTGCTCCTGGCGGGTGGAGTGAGGCGCCCCGGCGACTGATGCCGAGGAGGAGCAAGCATCAGCTCCACGGACCTGAGGCCTGCGCGCCGCTTCCCAGTGGCTCCTGTTTCCACCTGGCCACTGGAGGCTCTCTGCGCACCCTGGGAGGAGGTCACGCTGGCAGACAGAGATCACGAATGTAATTAGCGGATGCGCCCACCTGGAGCGGAGAAAGATCTGGTGGTACCCTGGTAGGGATGTGGGGGATAGAGAAAGATTGCATCCCTGACCTCAGACACTACCAGTCCCCTCTGCCTCCCCTTGGCCACTAGCAGAGATTCTAAGTGTTCTGAGTTTTAGAGAGAGGGAGGAGGGGGAACCACAGGAACACAGGCTCTTGGGAGGGATGGGAAACCTTGTTTCTGAAGTGTGTCAGGAGAGAAAATGTTCTTACTGAGCATACACAGGTGTGGTGACACATTTTAACTGTTTTGGAGGAGGATGATTCAAAGGGTGGTGAGTCAATGAATGCTGATAGGTCCCAAGTTTTATCAGAAGATATTCCCAGGATATTTCCACAAATTGTATCAATTATGGGGTCAGAGATTGCATGGGGAGGAGAAACCCAGAGGCAAGGAAAAGGATCTGGGGTTGTCAAGTGAAGATGGCTGTTCACTCCTCTTTCCAGGAGGAAGAAGAACACCAATTCTTCCCCATGTGCAATAACCCTGGCTCTGGCACACCCTTCAGCACTGCCTCTACCATGCTCTGGGCAGAAAAGGGCTTCAGACTGACCAGGGTTGGAGAATGAATGGTTTGCAAGAAGCAGTGGAAGACCAAGGTCTCACTGAAAGTTCCTTGGAAACAATAAATACAGCCTTCTAGCATCCTGGGGCCTGTTTTCTTTCTTTTTTAAAACTGCACTGTGTGGCATGTGGGGATCATAGTTTCCCAACCACAGATGGAACCCATGCCCCCTGCATTGGAAGCACAGAATCTCCTGGGGCCTGTTTTCTGTTGTGTCCTTTCTCATTTCCTTCCTCCAAAAGACAACGTAAAATGATGTACCACCACCCCTAGTAAGGGATCATTCCTGTTCCCTTTCACCTACCACAATGCCTTGTTCATAGCCACTGCTTAATGAAAGTAAATTTGCTCTATAAATGACAAATGAGTCATAGGTCACAGATTATTGGAATCTTGGGGTCAGAAACTTCCTTGGAGGACACTAAGACTCACAGAGCATGTCTGGGAGTTGTTGACTTGAATGAGAACCTGTACCACCTGGTCTAAAGGAAAATATGCCACCACCACCTTCCCAACATACACACACACACTCTCACACACCCCATGGAGGCTCAGCTCTCACTGCAAAGGCTTTCAAAACAACAGGTGGGGGCTTCCCTGATGGCTCAGTCCTAAAGAATCTGCCTGCCAATGCAGGAGACATGAGTTCAATCCCTGGTCTGGGATGATCCCACATGCCAAGTGGTAATTGAGCCTGTGTGCCATCACTACTGAGCCTGTGCTCTGGAGCCCAGGGGCCGTAACTACTGAGCCCAAGTGCTGCAACTACTTGGTTGCCTAGAAGTCCGGTGGCCTAGACCCCATGCTCCACAAGAGAAGTCACTGCAATGAGAAGCCTGAACACCACAACAAAGAGTAGCCCCTGCTTGTTGCAAATAGAAAAAGTCTGTGCAGCAAATCCAAATAAATAAAATTAAAAAAAAAACAAAAACAGGTGGCCCACTCATCCTCTGTCTCTAATGTGAGAGGCCCTGCCCAGGGGTCTTGGGAAGCAGAAACTGGCATAGAGATGGTGAGTAGTGACCTTGTTCCTGCCCCTGGGGCCAATGGTCCTGTACTGTGAGTTGCATAAGAGGCACAGAGCTAAGTGAGGCAGGGTAAGGAATAAACCAGAAACCTCTCTCTCAATCTCTAGGCACCCCTTCCCCAGCTTTTGTGCCCCAGGGTAGTTACCCCCAGGAGGGATGTAGCCCCCATGCCTGATAAGTCCTAAAGGACACAGAGAAGGATGAAGACTCAGACACCCCAGGATGCAGGTATCTAGGGTATAGGAGGATCCCTGAACAAAGAAGCCACAAGAAGGACCAGTTCTCTTCTCAGACATGTAGCTGACCTTGTGGATAAGGCAGAGGGATTCTCAGGGCCAATCTCAGATCAGCCACCTAAGGACCATTAAAACCTTGAAACAATCTTCTTGGCCCCCGCACATCCATTGTTTGCATCATACAAGAGGCCATTCCTACACCTATATTGTAGTCAGACTGACCTTCTCCACACCCCTCTAACTCATCCATCTACTCAACTTCAAAGACTGGGAAAGCTGAGGCACAAAAACAGAATTCCAGCATTTGAAAGGTCATTCCTGGCTCAACTAGGAGGACATGAAGACCCTTTGACCTTGTCCCACAGCTGCATTGGGACCCCTCCACCCTGCCCCAGGATTGTGCCTAGGTTTTCTGCCTGTGGTAGGTAGGTGGAGGCAGACTCTGCCTTCACTGGATAAGGATCTAGGGACTGAACTACAAGATGTTAAGAAACTGGGCATAGCACAAAAATAGAAGTTAGGACACACTCCACCACCTAACTGTGTGACCTTGCACAAGTGCCTTAACCTCCGTGGTTGAATCATTTAACCTCTGTTACTTCTGCTGTATTGTGAGGATGATAGAGGCATATAAATGTACTTGAAAATCTATGAAATTAACTCATTTCAATACCCATTCCAAAGTTTGTCCTTACCTTTCCAGGGAGGAAGGCCTGAGCAGGTATGGCAAAGAGCTCTTCTTTGATTGCCTGCCTTGGGCAAATTCCTGACACAAGAAAAAGGAATTGCCCCGAGTTTCCTTGTGGCAGTCAGGATGACACCGGCTCCCAGCCTGCTCGTGCCTCCAGCATTGCCCATCCGTTGACTGCCACACAGGAGTGAGCTGCATATTCCCTCTTCTCACTTCCCTTCCCGCCTTTCCAGTTCTAACAGGTCCTTGTTGGCTCTCTCCACTCTGGTTTTGCCCCCAGTCCCCTCTCTGAGGGTACTACCTTCCCAGCTCCCCCCTAACCAGGGGAGCTCTGAAGGAGGGGAAGAAATGAGTGCAGGAGACATAGGTGTCTCTGGTCCTTCAAGCCCTCAAGGACACCCCTTACACAAACACCCAGGCTCCTCCAAACCTCTGTGTCCCAGAGAAGGTAGCCATGTGGCTTTCCAGGTTCTCCACAGAGGACTTGAATATTCAGACTTCTGTATTTCCTTTTTTCTCTTACTCCTTCATTTCTTCCACTTTTCCTCCCTCCTCCCACTCTTCCACTCAGTCTTTCTTCATCCATCTTCCCTAGGGAGTTTCCCTTTTCTTCTTTGCTGAAGGTGCCCACTGTTTCTCTGAACCCTCCTTTTCTCTCCTCCTGGGCCATTCTTGAATTCTGGATGAAGGGAGATAAGGAAAGGAGATGAGTTCCTTTCTGTCTTCATCACCTCTGAGGCCATTCTTCTGAGGGCTGTATCCCCACAGGTCCCCTAGTAATCTCTAGGCATCATAATCCCCAATGAGAGATTCTCTCTCATGGCATTCAGAGAAAAAACAGGAAATGTTGTGAAATGCTGAATTCTACACAAAGCAGCCTTTGCAGCTCCGTTGACACTAACACGCAAAGTGGCCAAAGATCTACCACAAAGATGCTACTGATGAGCACGCTGTGGTGTATGAGCTCCTTCTCCAACATCAGCACTTTCGTCCCAGTTTCACAGCCACAACTCTGTGGGTCAGGTGAGGTTTCCCTACATCTACAGGTAAGAAAATGGACTTGGAACGGTGACTAGACTGCCTAAAATCACATCTGGAGTGTGGTGAACCTGAGGCTGGCTCTTTCTCCCGCCCACACTAAAATTATTCTTACCATTACGAGATATCACATCTTTCATTTTATTCTCACAGCAATCCTGTGAGGAGGACAAGAACCCTGTCAAGAAAAATCAGCAGTTCAAGGAGGAGGAATGACTTACTTCCAGCCCCACAGTAGACTCCAAGCCCCAAACTCCAAAAGGAAAGGAGGAACAAGAGCTCGCCGCCCCCACCCCAGCCTCCGCCAGCCAGCAGCCTGGGATGCTCCCCGGGTCTCAGCCAGGAAAACGTGGAGAGATCCAGGCCCCGCCCCCTGACCTTGTACTCTGCCAGCCTCGGGGATAGGGAGTGGGGAAAGCCTCAGCTCGTTCCCAAGACGCAGTCCCCACTTGGGCACACGCCCTGGGGTGAGGCTTCCTGAGGAAGCCGAAGGCCTTGAACTCCGCGCCGAAGAAGGGGGAAAAGCCCCCGAGACCTGGGCGCCTTAGCCCAGAATGGGTTCACCGAGGAAAGGAGCCCGAGGGGACCGGGTGCCAGAGCCAAAGCTGGACCAGCTCCACCCCCGCGGGGTCAGGGCCCTTGGAATTGCCCTGGAGGAATTCCTGAAGGAATCCCTGTGGAGTTGGGGTGTTGAGCGCGGCGTAGGGCGGAGCAATCCTTCCGACCTTCCCGAGCGAAGGTGGGCACTGAGAGGCCGCGAGGGCCAGGCCCGGGTTTTCTGTATATCCAGGAGGCCTGGGCTTCCCGGCCACCCCCGGAGCAACAGGGAGCCTTCGCGACTGGGCAAGAGCCCAGGAAGGCCCGCGCTTTCTCTGAAAGTGAAAGGAGTGGGCGGGGGGCGCGGCCGAGGCGGGGCCCAGGCGGGCTGCGGCGCAGGCTCCGCCTCGGGGCAGTCTCCAGCCGGGGGCGCCGAGCGTCTCCAGTGCCCGCCGCGCCGCGGGCTGGTGGGCTCCGCCGCGGCTCTGTTACCGGGAAATGACCCTGCCCGGGGGCCCGACGGGCATGGCGCGGCCGGGAGGCGCGGTGCCCTGCAGCCCCGGGCTGGAGCGGGCCCCGCGCCGAAGCGTCGGGGAGCTGCGCCTGCTTTTCGAAGCGCGCTGCGCTGCGGTCGCTGCTGCCGCCGCCGCCGGGCAGCCCCGAGCTCGCGGGGCCAAGCGGCGAGGGGGACAGGTCCCCAACGGGCTTCCGCGGGCTCCCCCTGCCCCAGTGATCCCGCAGCTGACTGTGACTGCCGAGGAGCCGGACGTGCCCCCGGCCAGCCCCGGGCCGCCCGAGCCGGAGGGTAACTGGCTCCCGGCCGTGGGTTCGTCGCACCTGCAGCAGCCGCGCCGCCTCTCCACCTCGTCGCTCTCCTCCACTGGCTCCTCGTCGCTGCCCGAGGACTCGGAGGACGATCTTCTGAGCGACAGCGAGAGCCGGAGCCGCGGCAACGTGCAGCTGGAAGCGGGCGAGGACGTGGGTCAGGTACGGGCCGCGGGGCGGGGCCGGAGCCGGGACCTGCTTGGAGCTCTCTGCCGACCAACTCCCGCCCTAAGCTCCCTCCCCCGAGAGTCCCCTTCTCCCTCTTTTGGCAGTGGGGTCGGTGGGAGGCGCCGGGCCAACCCTTCGCCTTGACAGTTTTTACTCCAGTTCTACAGGCGAGTCGCGACCCGGGCCCTGGGGCGTCTGAGAGAGTGAGGAATCCCCGAGACCGGCCACGGGGACCGGTGGGGCGGCGGGGCAGCGTGACTTGCCGGCCGTGAGATGGCTGGAGGGATCGGAGGGGCTTAGCGTTGCCCGGCGAACTCTCGCCGAGACCGGAGGACGAGCCTCCCTCTCTGTCGCCCCCTCTCCCGCGCCGCGGCCCCACCCCCGCCGTTGCCACGGTTTCCCTCTCCTGAGTGGGAGTGGAGCCGAGCTCCAGGCTCCGCTCGCGAACTGCTGCCGTCTGCTCCCGGCGCCCGCACCAGGCTTGGACGCGGGGAAGGGAGGGGCGCGGGACAGAGAGCTTAGGCAGGCAGAGGAACGCTGCCCTCCTCCGCTTTACTGC